CCCTGTAGGTTGAACTAAGTTTTCTTCCTCTCAATTAGCTCAAAGCAGAACTTTGATTATGTCCTTAGCAGTAAGCCTGCTACTTGCAGAGTGCTCAGCCAACGAAACGCTCATCCTATGTGGAAACTTGTGCGAGGGTAAATGCGAGAATTTCGGAAAGGTAAGTGCTCCTTAATAGATTCTTAAAATTTTCTGCTTTCCAAGAGAAATGAGGAAAATATCTTCATAATACTTTTCTTGGTTTTGTAAAAAATGCAGATTGCAGCATCTTGTCATCTTTTTCCGAAGGGAAATCAGGTTCATATAAGATCAGGATGAATTCTTGTAACTTTGATTCAATTTATGCTTGCTTGTAAACGATTCTCGTTAAGGGTCCAGTTCCATGCCTCGCCATTTGTGAATCGCCAGCTTGTGCTTGTAAAGATGGCTTCTTCCGCAACAAAGAGGGCAAATGTGTACCTGGAATGGACTGCCCATCTAGTAAGTACTTATACTATTACTGAGTGCCTAAGGCAACAATAACTTTTTTCTTGAAAAAAGAAGATTCAAGTGCCTCAAGTTGGTTCATTAACTCTCATATTTCTATTTTTCTCAAAGAAAGCATTATTTTTGTCGTACTACCACTGTATGCTCATGACTATATGACTGGTACTTATATCCATAAGCCAACCAGCTTTTTTCGGTTGATTGACTTTAGAGCGAAAACAACGATTTGTGAGGAGTATTTATTTAGCAAAGTTATCATTAAGAATATAATGGGGAAGCAAGCTAAAATACGCCAATATTGTTCACGTTTGATCTTTCTGTTGGGTGGTTTGAAATTGAGAACATAAAGATAGTCAAAACAAATGGAAATCACAAAGTTAAAATGTCAAACTTGTTATTCCATTGTAAGTAACAAGTATTTTATAGACTGCAGACAAAATGAAGTGATAAATCCATGTGGAAGTCACTGTGAGCCAACTTGTGAAAATGCTTTCGGAAAGGTTTGTTCATCTTTCTGTTTTTCAACTAAGGGAAATAAAGGTAAAGACAAAAAATTCAACCTTACTATATTTTTTCCAATTTTCTTATTTACTCATGCTAGAATCAAAATTAACTAAGAATACGTTTTTGAATTTATTTTTTCAACATATATGTCAAATAACAGGGATGAAGGACTATTATGTTGTCAGCAAAATGATGACGAATTTTGATCGTTCACTAACTTCTGACCAAATTCGGCTATTATTGTCAAGATTTCTGGATATTGCTCCAAAACTTCCTAAACCCCATTCGTGTAAACTGCGCTGTATTCTTTTTTTACTGGTTTTTCTTTTTTCTTTTTCTAAATTTTCGTAAAATATTCTATACCAATAACTGTGGCTCCTTAGCTTAGCACGACAAAACGTATCTGATATTGTGAACTATTTCCGCGGTTTGGAGCCATTCTTACAAACTTGAGAATGAATTTACTTTTGGACTCAATTGTCAGAATGCATCTACAAGATAAGGAAAATCAATCTTGGCTCAAGAACAATCTATTTCGAAATCGAAAATCTAATTTCTTAAAATTTTTTGACAATTATGGTAGCCTCAATATAGCGTGCGTACAACGTTAACTGAATTAATTCTTTGTTAGCATCGATTTCTTACATGCCTGCTTAGAATATCAAATTCCAACCCAAGGTAAGGGTATTTCTAGTAATTGAAAATAGATGTTACGAATGTGTAGTATAATTACTAGGTAAAATTGTTTTCTGCCTTCTCCTCCAATATATTGCCGCTGTGCTTACTACATAGTTCG